TGTGTATACTTCTGTGTATACTTCTGTGTATACTTCTGTGTATACTTGTTTTTGGACAGCGAAATACCAAGCGTTTTGTGCAGTCTTTGAGTTCTCACACTGACACAAACGAAAGCTAATATTTCAGTGATCAAGTCTTTCAGATTTAAGGAGTAACTACATTATTATAAAATTCAATTTATACAATTGAAATATAAATTTAATTCTGATTGCTCTAGCGAACCGGAGGGTGAGAGAACATGGCTTCTCAAGGCTTAATATGTATTGTCTCCTGTCTGGCATTTTAAACAGTAAAAGAAACCCTGCATTCTCTATATCCAGGTTGGTTGTGCCCCCGGGCGGGTCAGATTTATAATAATTTTTGACCCTATTTCTGTATATTTTACTTTAACCACATTCTTCAAGATTTCCACAAAACACTTAACTGTTTGTCAAGTGTGAGCACGTTTCTCCCAGAAACCGAAATATGCTGCATTTTTTGTTTAAAAGCACACAATTTATTATAGAAAATCTCATGTAACAATTTTTGAAGGTTTAAAAGGGAATTGCATGGACTGTCTGAATAGCTAAATTTTCACTTTTAAAAAGTATTTACTTTATCTAAATTGGATTTAGAGTTGGTAGAGTAACATGTTTTCTAATGGTCTCATAAAAGGTTACATTGTTAAGAAATGGAATTGATAAGAGTCACCTACAATTCAATATTGTTTGCATACTTTACAATATGGTAAATTGTTATTCTCAATCTAGGGCTTTTGTGGGAATTTTTAAATCAGAACACAAAAGCAGAAACAATACATTATCACAGAGGGATATGGAATAAGAATCTTGCCACACTGTTTTGTCTGAAAATGACAAACTTAATCAAGAAAGAACTAACATCGCACTGTGGGTTTGATTGATAGATAGTTATATAGTTTTACGCTGTGCATTTAAACCCCTCCCCAATCCTAAGAGCCATTTAAGTGTATTAAAGTTCCTTAGGATTTGTATAACTGTGACCATGATCTATCTGTTCTTGTTGGATGACTGTTCCGGTTTGCGTGTACGGGAGTACGTCTTGGTAACATGGAACTGCCCAGATTTATGGGTGGAGAGTTGTAATACTTCTGGCATGAACATGGTTTAAAAAAATACTCATTTTTAGGATTTAATATGTGTGTCTTTGTTTATCACCATTTTATTGCTGCATAGTTGGCTATGTACCTTATTCATTTAGTTCTTCCTATTACAGTTCAAATTCAGTGATATCTTGTTTTCCAAATTTGGACGTTTTGTTTTAGAAAAAATGAAATAACTTGTATTAATTTAATGCCTTTATCTGTTTGGTCCAGCATTATTGTGATAGTTTTCTTTTATGATTCAGTCATTGTATATGCAGTAGTTACCTGAATTATCCCAGTTCAATATTGTGAAGGTTTTGTAGTAGCCTTGGTAGTTGCGGGTTTAATACAATTTGCAATATATACATACTTCTGTTGTGGTTGGTTGGCTTGCTGAGCTGGTTTGTTGTTTTTCCGCAGACGTTTCATTACCCTGCTGGGTAACATCATCAATGCAGCCTCCAATGAAGCACCGTTGTAATTTCCCGTCTGTTATTTAAACTCGAATCCGTTAAACTGGATTCCCTCACTTTTTTTCGGTTTTCCTTCACAGTGGAGTGTATATGGGGTCGAGCTCTGTCTAGAAGTCTGGTACTCCACACACGTAGAGTTCGACTCCATATACACTCCACTGTGACGGAAAACCGGAAATGAGATAACCCAGCTGAATGGACTCCAGAGTTTAAATAACAGGCGGGAAAATACAACGGCGCTTCATCGGTGGCTGCAGTGATGATGTTACCCAGCAGAGTAACGAAACGTATGCAGAAAAACAACCAACCACAACATCCACAACCTGAGCTACAAACCTACTCTAAAACCTTAGAGACCTACGGCCGAAATATACGTACTTCGCAACGAATTCATTTTGTATTTGATTGAAGATTACAGTTTGAAACTAAGGGGTCAGCAGTTACACCTTAGCTGAAACTCTCTGTCACAGGCTTCTCTCGATGGTTCCTGAGTCAGGGAGGCCAAAGAGATGGATGATATTGATGATAATGGTGCACAGTGTGAATGGCCCCTCATTAATTATCAGGACTGTCTGAGCTCTTTCAAGACATAGTGACCAGTGAGGGATCCATCAGCTGAGGTGCAAAGTGCATTCAATCCTTATGTTTTTGCATTAATAGCACCATAGACTAGTTAATGCTACAGAATGTTTCTCACATTCCCTAATATTAGTGTGCTGCTCTTGGCATCCACATGGGGAATGAATTGGTATCTCTCTGGGAGGTTTGCCACTAATTCAGCAAAGGAGCTCATGCACTTCAAATCCTGAGACCTGCTGGGGCACATTTGTTCAATGATTGTTTTTCCCATTATCTCAATCTTGTAAACTCCAATGACTATAGGCCAATGTACTCCATGTATCCTTATGAGAAAATCCCTTCAGACTTGGAATCAATCTAGTGAACCTTCTTTGGGCTCCCCTAACACGAGCATATCTTTCCTTAGTTAAGGAAACCAAAACTTTTCAAAGTATCCAAGTGTGGTCTAACAAATGCCTTGTATAGTTTTACCAAGACATGCCAACATTTATACACCATTCTCCTTGAAGTAAAGACCAATATTCCATTTGCCTTCCCTATTTCCTGCTGAACTTAGATGCTAGCTTTTTGTGATTTATTCACATGGACTAACTTATCCCTCTGTGCTGTAGCTTTCTACATTCCTTCTCCAATTAAAATAATGTTCACCACCTCCATTCTTCATGCCAAAGTGCAAACCTCCCATTTCCCCATATTATTCTATTTGCCATGTTTTTCCCATTCGCTTGTAGTATCTATATTATCTGCAGAGTTTGTGTGAAGAATCAGACAAAACTCAAAACATTAACTCTATTTCTGTCTGCAGATGTTGCCAGTCCTCGAAGGTTTTCTAGCATTCTCTGTGTTTGTTTATAAAGCCATGCTGACTCTGCTCGATTTATATTAGGTATTCCTAAATGCTTTGCTATTACATCCTTTATCCAAAATATTGAACTCTTAACATTTTTCCCACAGATATTAAGCAACTGGTCTAAAATTAACTGTGTTTATTTTGTAATCATCCCTTTTTGAATTAGGGTTTTGCATTCAAAGTTTTCATGCCATCTGAACTTCTCTGATTCTGGAAAAGCTTATCAGCCATTAGCCCCTTTAATTTCCTGAGTACATTTACTTCGAGTGATACTTATTGTATTTATTTCTTGCACCGTTTTGACCCTTTATGATTTAGTACTTTAGAATGCTACTTGTGGCTTCTACTGTGAAGACTGATACAATGTATTTATTCAACAACCACTTCCTTGTTCTCCATTGTTATTTCCCAGCATAATTCACTAAGGGACCTGTGTTCACTTTGGCTGCTCTCTTGTATAATTATTGAAGCTTTTGCTGTCCAAATTGGTTTTGTGCAATTTTTCACTCAAAAGTTTATCATCGCCTGCTTTTGTTTTGGTCATCTTTTGTTAATTTTAAAACTTTCCTAATCCTCTGTATTATCCCTAACTTTGCCACATAATATGTTCTTTCTTTTTAATGTGATGGTACCCTTAGCCTCCATGGTTAACCATCATTGACTTATCTCCTTCCTAGAATCCTCTTTTGTCACTGGGATATGTCTTTGTTGTGAGCCATGAACTATTGCCTTGCAAGTTTGCCATTGTCCCTTAATGATATTTGCTAATAAATGCTTTTCTCAGTCCACTCCAACTGGCTTTCCACTCATTCCTTGAGGTTAGGTACTATTTTTGTTAGAAATATTATTATCTATTTATTTGTCTGTTATCTGTTGAAGAATATGCCAATTTGGTAAAAAGATGAGTAGCATTTGGGAAACTTTCTACTTAAGGAAGAGATGAGGAGGAATTTCTTCTCCAAGGTCACAAATCTGTGGAAGTCTTTATTGCAGAAGTCTGTATAAATTATGTTAAGAATTACTGATTATTTATTAATCAGTAAGAAAATCAAAGGTTGTGGGGAAAAGTCAAGAAAGTGAAGTTGAGCATTGAGATTAACATGGTTTTATTCAACAGCAGAGCAGACTTGATGGGCTGATTGCTTAATTCTGCTATTACTGAGGCTCTCACCAGAGATGCTTTCTGCAGCAATTTCTTTGAGATCTCCAGCATTAGGAGTACGTTAAATTCACTTTGGAGTTTCCTTGGACTTCTGGGAAGCTTTACATTGCAAAAGAAGTTGTGTTAGCCCACTGAATTGGCCACAACCCTAGATAAAATTAGTCATTATTAAAGATACTCTTAAAATTAAGCTAGTTCTTAGTTGCTAACCATTTGTTTACACTATATTTTAGTTAGACCATTGACAATGTCTCGCTCCTTCCCTGGCCTTTTGGAAGTCTTTGAGTCCACATTTCCATGTCATGCACCCATCTGATTTTCCTTACTTGTCAAATGTTTTTATGCTAAATTTCTCCTTCAATTGTTGCCTGATAACCAGTGTCCATTCTTTATTACCAATGTTTGTACTTTTCTACCTTCTTGTCTTGAACTAAACGTAGCAACCCTTATTGAGATTTATGCAATTGGGGTTGAGGGGATAGAAGGTCAGTATGGTGAGAATCGTTTAGTTTGAAGTGAACGAGGCACCCGACTTTCTCGAAAGGCACTTTTTGCAACAATAAAGAGGCCTCAAAGATCTATCCATTGGACCATGCCTATCATTAGGGAAAAAAGAGGATTTAAAGGGATCTTGCAGTTGTTAGCATTCAGTCCA